ACCAGTGCCATTTGCAAAAAGCCCCCCGATTAAGGCCTGCCTTAGCATTAAGCCCAGGAAGAAATATCTTCTAAATTTAATTCTATCTGGAGCTCCTTTTTATTTCCTGTTCCAAAAATACTTCTATTCACACATGTGGTGGACAGACACAAATGCAGACAGAACACTCATAAAATACAATACAACAATAACAAAGTACCTCCAGTATCTTCCTCTTGTCAGAAACTACTGAGATGGCTCGTTGAATAAAGGCACTTGCCGCCAAGCCTGATGACTTGAGTTCAATCGATGGGACCCACGTGATAGAAGGGGCAAGTTGTTCTCTGCCCTTCACAGATATGCCATGAGATCACATGTAACACACACACACACACACACACACACACAGAGACAGAGAGAATCTTCTGATAGAATCATAGCAATTATGGATAAATGACATGACCATTGTTTTTAGAATAAGAGTGTTTTGTTCCCTGGGTGTGGTAATTGTCATGGTAGATTTGTCTATTCTTGTAGTACCTGTCTCCTTTGAGTGTTTTGCTTTGTTTTGGGAATAGGTTTTTGAGGAGTTTCACTGCATAGCTGGGGCTGTCCTTGAACTCCTGAACCTCCTGCCTAACTCTCCAGAGTGCTGAGATCAGAAGTGCATGGCCACAGCCCTCTCTGTTATTTTAATGTGAGTTTCTCTGCTGGAATACTATGCTGATCTCTGTTTTGCTCACAATTCTTTGTTGACCAGTCGTCTTCCTAGGTCTGGTGTCTTTGTCTCTATTTTTTAAAAAGATAGATTTATTTATTTATTTATTTATTTATTTATTTATTTATTTATTATATGAGTATACCGTTGCTCTCTTCAGACACACGAGTAGAGGGCATCAGACCCCATTGTAGATGGTTGTAAGCCACCGTGTGGTTTCTGGGAATTGAGCATGAAAGAAAAAGACTGATAAACTCAGTCCGAATTAAAAACTTTACTCTCAGAAAGATTTGTTTAAAGAATGAAAAGATAACTCTCAGACCAAGAGAAAATATCTGAAACAAGTATAATAAGAACTTGTATCCAGCAACACACACACATATACCTTTTAAAATTTAACAATAAGAAAACAATCAGATTTAGAAAGAGATTTAGAAAGCATTGGTCATGCTTTGTTGTAATTAAAAGTTCATCACTAAACCCAATGTCACAAACTTAGACTTGCTCCTGTATTTTTTTCTAGAGCTTTCAAATGTCTTCCTTGTGGTCCCTGATTGGTTTTTGTGTGAACTGTGACATATGCATTACTTGCTTGTTTGTGTGTTTGTTTTATGTATGGCCATCCAGTCCAGTACCAGGTATGAGAAGAACACCCTTACCCTACCCTTTCCAGAGCTGAAATCTCCCTGCTTTGTTGTTCTTCTAGACTGTTTGGTATTTTTTTTGTATTCATAAATTTTAGAGCATTTGTTAATATCTTCCAAAAATTAAGATTTACTGAGATTTTTATTGGAATTATATCTATATATCAAACTGGGAATAATTAATAATCTTAACAATGTTATCTCTTTTTTTAATTTATTTATTTTATTTATGTGAATACACTGAATACACTGTTGCTGTCTTCAGACACACCAGAAGAGGGCATCAGATCCCAGTACAGATGGTTGTGAGCCACCATGTGGTTGCTGGGAATTGAACTCAGGACCTCTGGAAGAGCAGTCAGTGCTCTTAACCGCTGAGCCATCTCTCCAGCTCCCCAATGTTATCTTTTAACTCATAAACATATAACACATGTCCACTCTTTGAGATATTTGGTCTCTACCATGTTTTATCATTTTCTGCAGATAGAATGTATATATATAATGTTAGGCTTGAGTTTTAAAACTACAGATTGGAAGGTGGAGAGGTGGCTCAGTGGTTAAGAGCAGTGGTTGTTCTTCCAGAGGACTCAGGTTCAGTCACAGCACTAACATGGCAGCTCACAATGGTCTGAAACTTCAGTTGTAGAGGATCTGATGCCCTCATCTTGGGTATCAGACATACATGTGATGCATAGACCTATATGCTGGGGAAACACTCATATACATAAAATTAAAAACAAACAAATTCGGGAGGGGTTATAAATCCCAATTTTTCATTTCTGTCACGCAGGAAGGTGACTGAGGTCTGTGGGACAGTGTCATGGAATCTTGCTAATCTTGCATGTAGAGTTGGTTTTCGATCTCTACAATCCTGACATCTGCAAAGCTGGTTTTACCATTTCCTTTGCAGTCTGTATGCCTTTTTATTTCATTTTCATGTATTATTATATTTGCTAAATTTTCACCTACTATATTAAGCATGACAAGTAAGAGAGTTCATCTTTGTCTTATTCTTGATTTGAGGGAAAAAGCATTGTCTTACCCAGTTACATATGATGCTAGCTATTGTGTTTGGGGTACATACCCTATATTGTATAAAATAAGTTAACATCTCTTGTTTTCAGAGAATCTTTTTATCATGAATGTATTCTGAAGCTTCTTGGCCGTGTTTTTTCTCAGTGTTAATATGATGAATTTCATTGACTTAAAAGCATCAAACCAGCTTTGCATAGCCTCTGAATTATGATGTATTCTACTTTATAGATTAATGAATTCTGTTTACTAATATTTTTTCAATTTACTAGTTGTTTTGTGTCTACCTGAGAAACTGATTTACAGGGTTTTTGTTGTTGTTGTTTGGTTTTGGTGTTTGTTTTTGCAGTGTCTGATAGTAAGTTAATCTGACCTCACAAGATGAGTTGAGAAATGTTTCTTCATCTCCTGTTTTTTGAGACTAAAAAAAATGGTATTAGTTCTTCTGCATATGTTTGGTAGAATCATATGGACCTGGGTTTGAGCAGTTAACCGTTAATTTAATCAAATATTACATGTGGTGAAATTATTAATAAGACAACCGACCCTTCTCCTCTTGAAATATACAAAACACTTCTTCAGAGGTTTCAGATTGATGCTAATAATGTTTTAAGATGTTTTGATTTGCCGGGCGGTCGTGGCGCACCCCTTTAATCCCAGCACTTGGGAGGCAGAGGCAGGCAGATTTCTGAGTTCGAGGCCAGCCTGGTCTACAGAGTGAGTTCCAGGACAGCCTAAGCTATACAGAGAAACCCTGTCTTGAAAAACCAAAAAAAAAAAAAAATGTTTTGATTCAGTAATTGCTAGTATGAAACGGTCTTAGTGAAACTGTGACTAGTAACTGTACTTGGAAGTTTTCTGACTAAAGACACTTTCCTTTACAGCAGAGGTTCTCAACCTAGAGGGTCATGACTCTTTTGGCAAGCCTCTATCTCCAAAACTAGTTACAATTCATAAAATTAGCAGAATCACAGTTATGAAGTAGCAACAAAATGATTTTATGGTTGGGGATCACCAGGACATGAAGAGCTGTACTGAAGGGCTGCAGCATCAGGAAGACTGAGGACCATTGCTCTACACAGAGGAAAGCTTGCCGTCTCTCGGGTTCACAGGCAGGCGTGTCAGAGCTCGTCTGCCTCCAGTCAGCACAGTCTCTAGCTTGTGTCCATGCTGTCGTTAGCAACCCCGGCTTCAAGACTTCACTTTTTTTTTCTCCTAAAAATTGTTCTGGACAAAACTGTGTAGAAGGTCCCACTTGTTCCATGTGTACCCTCCCCATAGATTGATATGCTGATCATTTTAGCATGACTAAAGTGCAGAGTAGGAGAGAAATGCTCAGATGTTGAGTCAGTGGCTGATGGCAGCTGTGTGTCACCGCCCAGGAGCAGATGTGCTCAGTTCAGCCTCTTCTCTCATTGTCTCTGCTTCTGGCTTCTGTTGTGTTACAAACATGAAAGACTCCACATCCAGTCCAAGTTAATAATTGAACATGGTCTAAAAGCTTGGCAGGGTATCCTCCCAGGCACCTAGCCTCCTCACCTGTCTTGTCACGGTTTGGCCTGGCCTTATACGTGCTTGCTCAGCAAACTTACTTGCAGAATTAGTCCCCAAAAGGAATAAATTAATAAAATTAAATAAATAGCCTCCCCCCAATTACTGAACTACGGGGGGGGGGGGAAGGGGGAGGAGGAGGAAGAAGAGGAGGAGGAAGAGGAGGAAGAGGAGGGAGAGGGAGAGGGAGAGGGAGAGGAGGAAGAGGAGAAGGAAGGAAGAAAATGAGAGTCCAGATATTAAGTAATAATAACACTCGTAAGGCACATGGTTTAAATTGACTCAAAGCATCTGTGGGAACCCCGTGACTAGCACTCCAGGAAGTAATTTGACAGAAAGAGATAATACTATCCATTGCAAAGTGCACTGCACTGGAAACAAAGGGAAACTACAGAAGTACACACCCACTGAAGTAGAGCAGTGTGGGAAATAATACATGAGAATGTGTGAGAACACGTCCACTTTGGTGAGAGCCTAGGAAACAAGACTTACGTTCATATGTGCCACCATCGCCACCTCCTCCTCTTCTTCTTCCTCCTCTTTCTCCTCCTCCTCTTCCTCTTCCTCTTCCTCTTCCTCCTTATCCTCTTCCTCCTTCTTCTGTCTGCTTTGTTTTGTGGGTTTGGGTTTTGGTTGTTTGGGGTTTTGGTTTTCATGACAAGGGTTTCTTTATATAGCCATGGCTGTCCTGGAAGTCTCTCTGTAGATCAGGCTAGCCTAGAACTCCACCTCTCTCTGCCTCCCTGGAACTAAAGTTCTGGGATTAAAGGTGTGTGCCACCACCACCTGCTTAAGCCATTTTCTAAAGTAAAAGTTCAGGTGACTGTAAAGAGTTGTAATGGTGTTTAAAGATGAAAACATTAGGAACTTATGCCTTTGGTCTTTGAAAGGGACATACCTACCAAGTAAGCTGCTGAAGAGCTTAACTCAGTTCTTTAGCATGGTCTGTGTGTGCGCGTACCTTGGTTCCTGTTGGTGGAGGGTTTCCAGTTAGTATCAGCCCTGACCTGTATCAGAGTCCTTTTGTAAAAAGGGGTCTAAGACATCCCTTTGTTGACTGTTCCCTCCCCTTGCAGGAGCTCAGTGAGATGCTGTACACAGACCGGCCTGACTGGCAGAGCGTGATGCAGTATGTGGCCCAGATCTACAAGTACTTTGAGACATAGACAGACCCACTAGCCGCCGCTTGACCTCAAGTTAGTCCTGGATGCGCCTGCTCACTGCCCATCACACCTGGTATGCCCATCACCTCGCCATCTGGATTTCCAAGGAGGGCATCGGGAAGCAGAGCTGGCTCCACCATGTCCCCACCACGCGGATCAGATGCAAACGTGTCTGGAGCCTGTTCTCAGGAATCCTTGCTCCTAACGGGAGGCTTCTAGAGAGGCAGGCCCCACTCCTCACACACTGGGTCCCCAAACCCAGGCCCTCTTCTGTGAGATTCCAGTGTTGCCAGTCCCATTTGCAGCCCCACACATGGTCTACATGCTGACAAACAGCCCTTCAATTACTATGTCTCTTCTTCCCCCATTTACTAAAAGTGCTCTAGCTTTGCTTCAGTCAAAACTCTGTCCTTACCAACTGCCTACCCCGAAATAAAGCAGCACCCTACAGAACAGAAAAACAAAAGCACCTTTTGCTTCTTAGCCACCTAGAAACACACTAATTAGGGAAATAGTTTGTTCAGCTCTGTGTAACTGAGGACTTAATTGTACTGCATAGGTCTCACCACCCCTATTTGATTCTCGGGTGTGCAAAGGAGCCCTTGGGTGCCTTGCTGATGGTCCGCGGGAGGCCAGCTGGCATGCACGTTAACCACACAGCCTGAGGACAGGGCTGATGTCCTAGCTGATGGAACCATGTCCATTGTCTGCATCACCTTCTGCCCCGCTATTTATTTACAGTCCTGTTCACACACACACACACACACACACATCTGCCTGACACGTGGGACTCAGCAAACATCACTTAGGTGTGTGAAGCAGCCTGTGCTTGGGAGCTCCTTGAATATTCGCACAGTGTGGGAAGACAGAAATATGAACTGTTTTAGCTCCAGACAGAATTGGTCCTTAGTACTGGTTGGGCCCTTTACATTTGCCTAATGAAAGGAGCTATTAGGAACAGTCACACTTTCCCTGATATCCTTCTGCTTCCTGAGAAGCAGCATGGCTCCTTCCTGAGTACTCAGGCTCCTTGGCTCTAGAGTCTAGAGGCTCTTTGCTATTTTTCTTGGACAAATAAATGTGCACTTCATAGCAAATGAGGGTGCCCACCCCTTTCTCAGACAGTTGGGTGTGCATAAACACCCATTATTGTCCTAAGTGCCAAACAGCCCTGTGCTGGTCCTTTGAGAAAGGATCATGTTCACAGCAACCCCTAAGAATGACCACCATAGTTCTAATGAATCTCTGCCTGCTTATCTGAGCCACTCTGCTGGCCCAGTCTGTATCCTTGGAGGACCTGGGTGCAGCAGCGCTGATTCTCAAACTATTGTAGCCTCTTGGGGCCAGAGACTCCACCTTCAGGCTCTATCTGTAGTTCTTGGCTGTGGCTCCATCTAGTTCCCTTAGGACTCTTAGGAACCACATGCCTGACCCCTCGGATCAGGTAAGTCAGAATAACTGGAACGGAGCAGAGATGGAGTCTGCAGATTCTCACAGTTCTCCAGAACTGGTGGACAACCATGCAGAGGGGTAGGCCATTTCCCCCAGCCCCCTGTGCTCCCCACAGGAGCTCCTGAGCCACAGTTTAGTTTCACTGTCAGCTGTGAAATGGGCCCCTTCATCTCCAAGTAGAAGTCTAGGGCTCAGAACCTCTTTCTGATGTGTTCCTCTGAAAGCTAGAACATGTGCTGCTTAAGCACTGGCTGTGTTGACATGATTGAGGACAGCCCTCGCTGTCTCCAGGCTTCTGCTTTGCCCAGCGAGAGAAGCGCTGTCCCACACAGCTGGGTGCTGTTTCTTCACGGATGATCTCGAGCTGTCAGAGAGGCCAGTTAAGGCATGGGAATTTAGTCTGTCTCTGGCTCTTGTCAGGGTGCTGTCTAAACATCTAGGAGCTCTCAGCAGAGCAGTCTCCATGCTGGTTTCCAGTCACCTTACAGTTTCCTTGTAAGTGAGGCACGTTGGGGCCCAGCCTCCCTGTGATCAGAGCCCAGTTTGCTGAGGACTGGCCAACCACATCTGTGCTTGTCTTTATTTTCCTTTGGCTTTCCCCTGATTACTACTGTTCTTGGCAGGGATGTAGAAGAGGAATGAGAGCCTTCCCAGTAGAAGCAGGTTCTGCTGGTGATGGGAACGAGGCAGAGGTAGGCAGACAGCACTCCAGTTTTCCAACATGGTACCACACTGCTGCATGTGGAGGTGCAGGGTCTGGGAAGAGCTCCAGGGAACAAAAGTGAATATGGAAAACTGACCAGCTAAGAATACTCGCACAGTGGGTGCCTTACATTTTCTTGGGTTTTGGTTTGGGGGGTGGGTTTGTTTGTTTGTCTTGCTTTGTTTGGGGGTTTTGTGAAACAGAATCTCATGCAGCCCAGGCTGGCCTTGAACTCCTGATCTTCCTGCCTCTGCCTCCCAGGTGCTGAGATTAGATACCTTGCCCAGCTTTGGTACTCTGTGTTTTTGTTTGTCTTGTGTGTCTCTACTGTCATTTGGAGGCTGTTGGAGGCCTCCATCGTCATGTGTTTCCCGTCTGCCCTCAGCTAAGCACAAGACAGAGCCACAGAAGTTAAGCCATGTGGGAAAGTCTGTGAGGTTCTGTGCTGAGTGCTGTCTGAGCTGATGACAGATGACAGTGCTGTCCCACAGGGACAGGGCCCAAGGAACCGCCCTCTCCTCAGTCCCTTCTCACTTTAGCAGCCATGTTTGTCCTTAGTTTTCCTTCGTCATCCAGTTCCACCTCAGCTTTTGTAGATCATCCAGAATATAGGCCGTGGCTGGGAGAGGAAAGCCATGTCCTGCAGAGCACAGTGCCCCTGCCTGTGACTTCAGCTATTCTGGAGATGGAAACATGAGAATCAGTTGAGCCCGAGGATTTGGGACTAGTTTGGCAAAAGAGACCCTGAGAGAGAGTGGGGCTGTCCCAAAGCAATTGGCCTTCTAGCAATAATGACTGCCCGGCATATTCTCTTCCCGTCTCCTACGGGCACCACACACATGCCAGTCTCACTGGCCTGTGGAAATGGAGAGCTGAGACACTTAGGGACAAACCCACCCACCAAATCTAGCAGTTCCTAAGTATCCCAGTTTGAGATGTTCCACTACCAACACAAATAACACCCCCCGGCCCAGCCATCTGAAGAGAAATGTTTCCAGCATCTGCTGAAGGCCCTGGACATCTAGGCGCTCTGACTGAGGTTGGAGTTCTGAGTCTGGGACACCCTGAGTAGCTCACTGACTGTCACTACATTAGTTGAATGCACTTGATACATCATGGCCTCCTTTCTGTCACGAGCACACTAGATAGCACCAAGCACTGCACAAGTGTGACATACAAAAGGTGAACATGGCTCAGAATAGAAGTAAGGTATGCATTGTGTAATATCTCTAATAAATATATTTTGTTTCTGCCTCAGTTCTTTCACCTGGTGACATTTATCCACATTTTTTCAAAGCACTAAACTTGCTTTGAGTCTGCCTAAAGCCAACATCTCCCTGCATGTTCCTGTCACTTCCCAGTCCCCACAGCAGCTGTTCTACAGGTCATACCTCTGCCCTTCCCATCTGCAGCTGTCCTGCTGTGGACATAGGCTGTCAGATGAGTTCCAGCACCAGGATGCTACCAAGCTATATACATGTGCTTACAACCGGAAGTGGGCTACCTGGACCCTGGAAACCACACACAGTGTTGATAAGTTATGATAAGATTGAAGAGGCAAGTGAATAAAAAAATGCAACTAGTAGTGATGCCATTGGCATCTGGAAGCCACCATTCATAGGTCAGTCAGGCCACAGACAAGGAGAGCCACTCTAGAATCTTCATTCCTATTTCTTCTCAAGTGAGCCCCACAGCCAGGCCTTCTCTTGAGGGCCTTCACAACTGCTCAGGGAAACAGTCACTGGTAAGACTTATCAAACACCAGGCCAGCTTCAGTGCTACCACTTCCCTCTCAGTCTAAAGGGACAAGAAAAGTTGTGCCAAGAGATACCCAGTCTTTGCTCCACATCTGATTGTCCTGTGCCATCCTGAATCCCAAGTGCCTTGGGCTGTGTACATGTTGTGTATCCCTTCTGGCTCATGCACATGCGTAGTGGGCCTGTCACAGATGCCCAGTGTCTCCATCCTTGAGAATGCTCTCCATATTTGCTGGGGTTTGAGGCTTGTCAAACAGGTTCTTTCCTATGTACCTAGTTCTCTACATGAAGTAAGTACCATCTATGGGCATACCACGACTGGGCCATCTTTGCATATGTACTTTACAGGTAGTGTAAATTGGTAGCACTGAACCCCAGGACATCTTCCTTTCTGAGCCCAGATTCCCCATAAAGCTGTCTTGGGTAGTTTCTCGTGTCACAACACAATACTACCAACTGAGTACTTCATAAAGAATAGAGGTTTACTTACCTCTCAGTTCTGAAGTCTGGACCCTTCAAGAGCCCAGCACTGGTGTCTGGAAAGGTATTCTTGCCACAGCATGACTTGGCAGAGGACATGAGGAAACAGAGTAAGCATGACAGCCCTAGTCCTCTCCTTGTGGAACCACCAATGCTACCATGGGAAATCTGGCCCTTATGACTCAATCCCAGTTATCTCCAAAAAACCATTAAGTTTCTAGCACATGAACCTTGGGGAGATGCATTCAAGTCACAGTTTCAGTGGTACCAGCTTGTGGGCTAGCTGAGTTAAATGAGAGGCTACTGGCAGCCCTATGTACAGATCCCTGTGCCCATGGCCACCTGCCCTCTGCAGGTGAGAAGGGCTTTGCTCTTAGGTTGTATAAACTTCAGTCTGAGCTCCGTGAGGGCCAAGTGCAGACTTCTGTGCTCATGATGCTTAAACCTAATACCTAGTGGTTATATAGATCGATTGATTAATTGGTCCAGCTGCCAGTTACTTGCCTTCTGATTTGGAGGGTAGTTCCAGGAATGAATACCACAGCATCCTGCCTCTGGTCCATCTTGTCAACAATCTGTTCCAGCATTTTCCAGCTTAATGGTAAGTGGGAAAGGCTTGGGGAGAAACTTGAAACCTGACCTCTCCGAGGCCTTCATCTTTCCTTTTCCTTTACTGGTATTACGTGCTGATCCCGTGAATGAAATGACCTAACACGTTCCCGTCAGAGTCTTGGAGTCTTCTGGGATCTTTATTTATTTATTTTTTTTTTGTAATTGTTATATTTTTTTTTTTACTTCTGGGATCTTTAAATGAATTTGTTTTAACTTACTTCACCTGCTTCAGTGAAATATTTCTATAGCATGAAAAAAAAAAGTCCATAAATAGATTTGCCTCGAACATTTTAGAAGGTTGGCCAGTGGGTCTGTGAACCCTCCCGTTTGTCCATCTGGGCCACTATTTATATCCCTCCTTAGTGTGGCCACTTCCCTTGTATCTGAAAAATGAGACAGAACTGAAAGTGGGACATGGGAAAAGTTTTTCTGCTACATGTGACCTCGAAAGGCTTGGCCACCATTCAAGAAGGCTGATCCTAGAAAACATCTGGCCGGAGATAGACCTTGTCCTAAGAAAGGGAAAGTCTGACCACCCAGAGCCTCCAAATAAGCAACAGGGATGAGAACTCACAGTGACACTGATGATGTGTTATTCAGACTGCTGAAGCCTTTCAGACCCACCTGCTCTGCCCACAGATCCAGCTACTTTTGTTTAGAGGAAATGGAGACCTGTCTTTGGCCACCTACCTTTGTAGTCTGCAGCCGTGTGCCCAAAGTGAGCACATGGTTTTGTCCCTCTTAGAAATCCTGTGGGTGGCTCAGTTTTGGGTCAGTCAGCCCTGAGTGTGATATAAGTATTTAGAGCTTTGAGGTATAA